TGCTTCTAAATATGGAACAAGACAATAGTGCCCACACTTAATACAGTGTGCAGTCTTATTTACTGCAACAAGACAAGAAAAAAGAATGAATGAGGACACAAATTAGAAAAAGGAAGTCAAACTATTCCTACTTTCAGACAAAATGATCCTTTATTCAAAAGTTTCTAAGTATTTTCAGAAAAGTAACAGGATACAATATCAACATGCAGTTCCAGCTCCATTGCTCCAAATCTTGTGTCCAAAATGTGTTCTGTCTTCTGTAGTAGGGACTTATCTGCGAGTTTTGGGAGGCAATCAAGGGCTGTGGCAATAGTCTGTGTAATTTTTGGTTCTCTTGGACCACCCTGGTTAACAACTCAAAGGAAGGTTTCTCCTATCTGACACTGTTTCTTTATATATAACCTTCAGCTATACTCATGGACTCATGTAGAGATATTGTATGTATAATTTTTTAGTAGGTTTTTGGGCTAATATTATTCTTTTTTTTTTTCAAGAAAGAAAGTGAAGAGCAGCACTTTATTTGAAGTTGGAAGAAGCTCAATGTCAAGACTTTCACATGCACATGCACACATGTGTACACACACCTGCATATATATACACATGCTCACACATTTACACATGTGTGTTGATACGTGTACATACATACACATATGTATGCCACACACATAGACATTAGAATTCTGGGAAGGAATATTATCTTTCCTCTCATTTTCCCCATACAGCAGGTAGAACACTAATCATTCTTTTCAAAATCTTCGCAATGTGGTAAGAATTTGAGAATACCCATTGTTTGCTTGCAATATCTGTTTTTTTTCCCTTGTAGGTAATTCAATATTATTCCTGAAAATTTTGAAAAATTTTCAAATAATTTTATTAGTGATAATTTTTAAAAGAAACTTAAAACATTGGAGCTTTTTCTAACGTAATAGCAGGGTTTGAGTTAATTCTTCGGTTCACATTTTCTATTGTTGTTCATTCATGAACAGTCTTGACTCCTTCCTCTTTAGAAGGAAGCCACTCTGGATAGATAATTGATTGAGTT